CTCTCTCTCTCTCTCTCTCTCTCTCACGCACATGCGCCCCCCCCCCCTCCCGCCCCAAAAAAAAACGTGGATTTGTGCTTCACGCTATGGTGCCACATGTTTCCTAAATCGCTACTGATGTGGATTAGAAGCGGGGGCTGCCATATGCATGAAGTGGAAGCTGATCAGGCACTCCTGTACTCACGAGTGGCTGCCAGTCGTGCACATACTGCACAGGTGTCTGGCGGGCGCACAAGCAGGCCTGCCGCACCGTAAAAGTCATCGACACATTGTACACAGTGAACTTAGTATGTACTTTTTCTGGCTCGCATGTGTTGGGAGCGACGAGATCGTTCCGGGAGGTTGCGAATATGGCGGTGGAGTAGGCCTCCTGCCAACGTCGTGGTGATCATGCTGTTCGTGTACAAACCAGGGTGTTGTCTTTGTGGGGGGGGGGGGTGGAGATGGAGCATATCCGCCAAAGAGGCATCTGTGACAGCTGATCTGACAATGAATGTGTTGATGACAAGGACAAGGACAAAGGTGAGGTAGGAGAGGAGGAGAAGAAGGGGAGGCAGTAGATGGAGACGACGATGTAGCAGAAGATGATGGTGAAGGGGCTGCTGCTGATGGTGGTAGTGGTGGAGCCGGAGGGGATCATCCGCGGGAGAATCAGTGCAGACAGCGGGCAGCAAATGAACAGCCCTGTGCGTTGTAAATTGTCAGCACAACAACCCCCTTTCCACCCAGATGAGGCTATTCAAAATTGAAAATGCTTTTGCCTCTATAGCAAAATTAATATGATGCACACTAAGAGCAAGAATTGAAACAGCTTTACTTGTATAGCAAACAATATGAAGCACAATAGAACCATTACATTGCCTTTTCCGTGTACGGTCCTTTCTTCGCTTTCAGCTTATATTTTGTCGGTTACCTTAACAAGAAGAGCCAGCACGGCTCCACACGCGTTAGAAAGGGATATCTCTTCTCTTATATATATATATTATATATACCTTAAAGGAAAAACCGGTCCGTGCGTGACGCTCCCACTGGGCCCAGCAAAAATCGGGCAGGGAGTTCCGCGCGGGGTGGCGCAGGGAACCGAGGAGGGCATGTTGGTTTGCGGGGGTGCCAGTTGGTGGGGGAAATTTGCGGGCCCGAGGGCCGTATTTGCGACGACGGTGGTGGTGGTAGGCAACCAGGTAGTGAATATTTCCATGTTCTAGGGGAAGATTCATTCAATTTTGCTCATCCTATCGCTGGAAGTAGCATGGCGGTCGGCTGTATTCAACCAGGTAGTGTATATTTCCATGTTCTAGCCAAAGATTCATTGGATGTTGCTCATCCTATCGATGGAAGTAGCATGGCGCGAGCCGCGAGGTCGGAGACTTATCGTCTCTTTCTCTCTCTCTCTCTCTCTCTCTCTCTCTCTCTC